ACTGTGGTAAGATATTCATAATCAACTTATTTGTTTCTTGTTCCCATCAATGTACCGTATAGATATGTAAATATGTACACATGTATGTATATGTATATAGCTATGGGAAAAGTGAGCGTGTGCCAATTATTTTTGGCAATATTTTCGATAATTAACTATGGATATTGGGTGTTAATAGCTGGGCACTACGGACTAGAGCTTTCTAACAGATTTCTTAATTTTCATCGAATACAATAGGTCTGTGCTTGAAAGTAATATTTAATCAGACTTATCATCAGCTAAACTTACTGTTATCTTACACTAAGTAACATTTATTATTTCTTCTAAATATATTCTTCTAAAATATATCTATTATTTCTCAGTGAACATGATAATGCATTTAATTATTGTTTACGTTGGATAAAATTACGCCAAGAATTAGTTCTACCTTTATGTCATGAAATTCTAATCTATAAGCTCGATGCGATTTTATAAATATATATAGGACATCCAGTTGTATATATCCCTTTGGCCTCTATCTGTCCAATATTGGAAAATAAAATCCAATATTTTAGCATTATGAAAGTCTCGATAAGCCTAGACTGTAGGCTAAACCTTCTTCGGAAGGCTTCTATTAGAAATAAATGTATTCAAGTCAGTTAGTATCGCCGTAATATATTATAGCATGTTATTATTAGTATATTAGAGCATATTATAATATATAATTTATATCTATTTGTATTGTATATATATATATTTTAAGTGCCTGGCTTGTATGCCGGTAGTACGGAAATACCGTTCGACTCTTTTCACCTCTTACAAGACCTGTTTTAAGCAATAGGCTTGGGCCTCAATCTAAAATTGGACAGAAAGCGCGTGTATATGCATGTGTATGTGTCTCTTTTATTATTGGAGAGATTTATTTCGGGTAAAGTGTTACAATCTGTAGTACTTAAAACACTGGTGTGATTACTGTGACGGCAAGTTGCAACAGAAACGAGACTTATTCAAGTAGAGTTATAATAAAAGTTGAATACTAATTAATTCAAGTTAGTGAGGAAGTTAGTAGAATAATAAAAATGTATGATTAAGAGTTTAAACGTTTAATATACATGTCTTAAAATATGTTTCTATGAACAAAATTATGGGATTTGAGATGATTCATGGTATTTAGTAACACTTCAACTTCCTCAATCATAGCTTTCCCTCTAATTAAAAATTCTTTATAGATTGCGGATTCTCGAATGAAGAAAATAGAATCGTCGGTGGAAAGCCAACGGGCATAAACCAATACCCATGGATGGCGCGCATTATTTACGATGGGAAATTCCACTGCGGAGGATCCTTGCTAACTAAAGATTACGTTATCTCAGCGGCTCATTGTATAAAAAAGTTGAGACGATCCAAAATTCGAATAATATTTGGTGATCACGACCAACATATAACTTCGGAGTCTCAGGCAATCCAAAGAGCCGTTACAGCTGTCATAAAGCACAAAAACTTTGACCCAGATACCTATAACAACGATATTGCATTGCTTAGACTACGGAAACCGATATTATTTTCAAAAATTATCAAGCCAGTTTGTCTACCCCGATATAACTATGACCCCGCAGGTAATTATCTGCCATCTTTCTAGAGAAGAGCTATATTTTTATTTTTCCTTAATTCAATAATCTTTAAAAATATACATTGATCAAATTTTTTCTAGGTCGCATAGGAACTGTCGTTGGCTGGGGTCGTACTGCTGAAGGAGGAGAGCTGCCCTCGATTGTTAATCAAGTTAAAGTTCCAATAATGTCGCTTGCGGAATGCCGAAGTCAAAAATATAAGAGCACACGAATAACGTCAACGATGTTGTGTGCGGGAAGGCCTCAGATGGACTCATGTCAAGGCGATAGTGGAGGACCGCTATTATTATCCAATGGGGTTAAATATTTTATAGTGGGTATTGTATCGTGGGGTGTTGGCTGTGGACGCGAAGGATACCCTGGGGTCTATACTCGTATAAGTAAATTTATTCCTTGGATAAAGGCGAATTTAGAAAATACTTGCTTGTGTTCATAGTAAAATGTTTAATTATTTATTATTAAATGTTTAACAAATTATTTATTGAAACTATAGTGTTGATTAATGGGTATACCTAGGAATGACAACTCTCAGAGGCAAGACACCTCGATGAGCTTTGGTGATGCTAACTTTAAGGATAAAGGAATTCACATATTCTTCGACCGACATAGAGTTACGTATATAATTTCATACATACGTACGTACTGACAACTAGAGATAAGCACAATTGTTAGGCAAGAATATGATATTCTTTATGAGGTCATTCTACCCTCTTGTTTGTCATAAAAATGTAATGTAAATAGCTAAACCTATTCAGGGTATAGCAAAATTATTTGAAATCTTATTTAGGTTTTATTGTGCATACAAATTAATTTATTCTTAAATAAGGAAGAACATCATTTATTGATATTGTTTATTGTTCGATGTACCAAACCCGAAATTATTTACAGAATCGCCCAAAACAGCTGGGTCTTCGGTTGGCGGGGATGGATTTTTAAATTGTTCAGCCGATATTCTTGTAAATAATATGCCAACACCTTCGATGAGAGCTAACAACACTCCCCCTATGATTGCACTTCCAGCCATTGCGGGAATACCTGGAAATAGAATTAAAACGGAGATTCTATTAAAAAATTGCTCAATTGTCTTAAGGATAAATCAACCAATTTCGAGGGCATTTTAGTAATGTTTAGTTTAAAAGCTTCGAATTATTGTAGAATGAATCAAGTGAATTTAAAACTGTAAGCACACAAATTCCAGCAACAAAAAACGGATTACCGGGTGACCGGTCTTTTTTGAATCGAAAAATTCGTTCAATACTATATACATATAAAATAATTTACCAACTGCGTCACTCAATATTTGGTTTACAACGTGATATTAATCATATTTTCAATTTTAATTTCTGTAGTCTATGTAAGCCAATAAATTTGTTGGGAAATGAATTCTTCAATCAGAGGTCATTTGACAGTATTGTGGGTAAAATTATTGTCGCATTGGTTCTGCAAATTGAAGTCTGACACGAATGAGTTAATTGGAGTCGGCTCTAATTTGTTTTGTTGGATATTACTAATAATGTAACAGCACTGTTGTCCTCAATGCGATTAGATTTAAAAATAGATTACCGTTTCGCGCCGCCAAAATGCCTCCCGTTGCAGCCCCACTTATAATTGAATTCCATGGATCTTCCTTTTTTCGAAAATGAACCAATGTGCAATCGATTGTACTGAACATTCCTCCCCAAACAGCAAAATTTCCAGCTATTACGGGTGAGCGCAATTTTATTGCAGCTATACTTCCGATCTAAAAATAAGGTCGAATTTTTGATTAGAATTACAAAAAAATTAAATAATAAACAATAATGCACAGAAACTTAAATGTGAATGAGTCTTTACTGACTATATCTATTATCGAAAAGTTTTATGGCTCAATCACACTACACAATACATATACAATATACATAAACATGTATATGTATATACTCCTATAGATATATACAAATGTATGATCTATATTCTTATAGGATAGGGAGCTAGTAAGTGTATAGAAACAGAAACAAAAAACTAAATTAAAACGGGATTAAACAAATAGGAACGCAAGCTAATTGCTAACAGATGAAATAAATTTAGTGATCTTAATTTCGAGAAATATACAAATTATAAGGAATTATTAGTAGGGAAAGTCTTCAATTGATCAATATGTCCTAATATATTACTTAAGCCTTGAACCATAAAATAAATCTCTGGAAATGATAGTAAAATACCACGCCAAACTGAACTTTAAAAAGGCAGAATAATCCCAAATTTTCTGTCTAAAAGAAGCCGTAAATTTATAACTCATACGTTTACCTAACAGTGTTTAGACTAAGTATATGTATCCACTAATGTAGTGGTTGCTAATATATATAGTATATATTTAAGAACATGCATACCATTCGTCTGTTTATTCCAGATGGAGCGTTTCTAAAACCTTTAATTGCTTGGAAAACACCACCTCCTATGCAGCCCATGGCAAACGCACCACCACAATCGTCCACAATCCGATATGGACATGGTTCACGTGCATATTCCTCCATAATTATATTAGTGGCCTACAAATGCACAAAAACAATTTATATATAAGCAAATAAGAATATTTCAAACTGTGCACATGTTATTTAACACACCGCAACAACACCAAGTTCATATAACAATTGGCTAGAGATGTTCGATATCTATGTACATCACTATATCGATATATTGCATATATTTAAAAAATATCGAATTAGTAAGAATTGTCCGATGCTATCGAGTTTTAGGTCCATTTACACTAACTACATTTGCTTAGAACACTAACCAGAGAATGTAGAGAAAGTATTAGCACTAACCAGAGAACACATAGACTAGACATGTAGAACAAACTTTTTCAACACCGAAAAAATGCGCTGAAGAGACCGGACAACTTCGGCTCGACAAAATCAGTGTGCTGCGCATTACCAAATGAAGCACGGCTATGCGCTCTTTTTCCTTTACTCTGTGGTATTTTTTTTTTTAATCTGAAGCAAACAAAATACATCCATGTCTAAAAGTGCAGGGCGTACTCATCCAACTAATTTTGGATGAAATGACAGTGCTTTGTTTTTTATCATATAGCATATTAGTTGACTCGAGGCTCTATTGTCTATAATTAACAAATTGACTTCAAATAGAATATGTTAAGATATAACAAAAAAAAATATATATTCTTATAAATGAATTTTGACTTTACTTACATTTTAAGCAAATCAATATACCCTTTTTGTTCACTATGGGCTAAGGGTATAGAAAAGCTGCATTAATTGCTAGTATTATCAATAATTGTTCTATTTAGTATTTTTAAAATACGGTAACTTTGCCACAAGCCACGTGTTGCATTGATTTACATCGAACTCAGTTTGAACACAGTTTTGTGTGGACGCAGATTGATATTAATCTAAATTAGTACTAACGTTGTTCCTTTGCAAAATTCATAAATGGATTTAATTTCAAAAGGCTGGTTCAGTGAAGTCCAAGACGACTTATGGCCTGGACAATCATTTTCTTTAAAAGTTAAAGAAGTTCTTCATAAAGAGAAATCGGAATTTCAAGATATTCAAGTGGTTGAGACGTGAGTAAAATGTTGTTATTAGGATTTGATCATTAACCAGATTTGATATACCTATCAGAAGTTAAAAGTATTCAATATTTAATATAGTTTCATTCAAGACAACTTCTAATTCATGTAAATGTTTACTGTATCCATAGTAGACTAATATAAATATTACCGCTTATTATTAGTTGAGCTGGGGTTACATTCAAAGGAAATTTTGTTACGTCATAAATATCCCAAACATGCGTACATATATAAAAATATGTCGTTATTTAAATAGTTAATAAAATATAAAAACTTAAGTTCTGCTTAGAGTTTATTTGTAATCATTTATATAAGAAAATGTGAAAAGAAGATTCTGATCTCTGACATTGCTTGAAATTAAGATTTTTGAGACACTAAATTATAGATATTATAATATACAGATATACATATATCAAACTAAAGCTTTACAATTTTTTTGTTTTTATATTAGCGTATTTCAAACCAAAATCATTTAAATAGTATGCTTCGTCAACGACCACGAGTGACAGCGGAATCTTTCATATACATACATATGTATTGTAAATATATACATATGTACGTAATCAACATCTAAAGACACGTCTTAGCAACAAAACTTCCATAGCTTGTTATCTCTTGATTTAAAATCCATTGAACCATTTTAGTTGACCCACCGATGTTAATCATCGTCTTGCTCAATAATAATTTTTGTTCTTTCAAAGGAATAAATAAAAATATGAAGAATATATTTTATATAATATATTATTTATTGTCATGTGTTTGTAGTTTACAGTATATTTTATTTATTTTATTTTATTA